AAAAAAAAAAAAAAAAAAAAAAAAAAAAAAAAAAAAAAAAAAAAAAAAAAAAAAAAAAAAAAGTGTCAGTAATAATTAAGAAAAGAAAAATTGATGTGGATAACTAAAATGCTACCCAAAAAAAAAAAAACAAATGATAGGGGTAAAAGTGTAATTTGGGTATGAATAATTTAATAAGAAAAAGTTGTTACAAATATTCCGTCTTCAAAATCAACGTGGAATCTGATTCGAGATTTGGATTCCATTTATCTTCTTTCTCGCTTCCCAAAGGAGAACTCCTTTGACAGGTATGAATATATTTTTTATTTCTTTTATTTTTATAATAATAGTAAAACAATTCCCAAATTTATATTTTAATTAATAACAAATAATATATATATATAAAATAATAATAATATATTTAATTAAATAAAATTTTGTTAATTAATAATTTGGAATTATATATGCATTTCAGTGCAGCAGTGAAAGTGAAGGGAAGTTAAAAAAGTCAATATATTCTATTGGAGTCATTGATAAATGACAATTAACATGTTTTATTTCACACAAATATTTGTTCGATTTTTTTAATTTGGTTCAATGAATTTGATAAATGTTTTTCAAATTTAATAATTTCGAATTTTGATTCAATGAACGAACTTGCTACGTGTTTTTTTCTTTTTTAAATTCGAGATTTAATACTAAAAAATAGATTAATTTTTTTTTTTTTTTAAGAATAATCTAAAAATGACTCGGGTTTAATAGAAAATCCAATAGAAATATATTTATAATTACCAATGAAATAAAATTTTTATTTAAAAAATTGAAGGAATGTAATAATTGATTTGGACTAAATTTCAGCTTTAATTAAAAGCATCTATTTAAATTACACATATCCACTCATGAGTCACGAGGCCCCATGCATATCACTATCTATGACCAAATTTTCCCATTTCATTATTCCCAATTAAAAAGTCAATATTTTACTATTATTTAATTAATTAAAATTTTAAATAATATATTTATTTAATTATGT